TAAATAGATTACTAAATCTACAAAATAGTAAAACCGTGCAAAAACATTGCCCGGATCACTTATTGGCAGATTCTTGTCGATAGTCTAAATTTTATTAATTTTTTGTTATCTAATGAATTGACACTTCACTCTTTTTTGTTTGAAGCTGGAAGATAGAGAGGTTGTTCGCGTTAGCAATGGTTGACATATCCCCACATCTAAAATCTCTTTTTATAATGAAGAAGTATGCCATATGGAAATAAATGATTTTATTCTTATGCTTCATGGTCTACTTAGGAGGGATTAGATGCTTTTTCTTCAAGTCTTTGACCCATTTATTTTGCCAAGTGAATCATATTTTGATATTTATAGTTATAATTGATGTAGCATTATACCCCAATATTGGCTCAATCATGAGTCACTACAATATTATAGTTATAACTGATGTAGTATTATACACCAATATTAGCTCTACCGTGAGTCACAACAATATTGTTATATCATTACTGGTTTCATGCTCTTAGGATTTGTTTGTGGTTAGTTTTGTTTTTTATTTTTTATTTTATTTTTAAAAACATGTTTGTTTAGTTTGATTGTTATCTGTTTTTATTTTCTATTTCTAAAAAAAAATTAACATGATTTTGAAAACACCCAAAATAACTTTTAGATATTTTGATAGTTTTAAAAACATCTTATCTTAATCAAATATATTAAACATATTCTACTTTAAATAAATAAAAAAAAAGAATGAAAACAAGAAATAGAAAATAAAAAACAAAAGTGATCCCAAATGACCTTCTATATGTAGAAACCTTAATCAACTTTGTTTATGTGGTTTATGCATGTTTTTGTTTACCCTTTTCTCCCCAAAATGATCTTTGAAGTAGCAACAAAAGTTCATGAGCTTCAGTTTTTTTTTTCCTCCCTTTAAATACTAATCTTCGATGTGAAATGCATCCTGTGGTACTCTTTGTGAACTGAATACTTAATATTTTGGATAGATATAATCCCTTTATAGCTTGTTCTTGGTGTCTGATTATGGTTTGTAGGGGTGAATGATACTTTGATGCAATTTTTGATGGATTTTGACATCTGACTCTCCTAATATACGGCTTGTTTAACACAAAGAATCTATTGGTCAAGCTACATGTCTTCTAAACTCGTCAACCATCTGCCAAATGCTACATTAAAAAATAAGAACCAAACTATTAGTTCTGAAAGCTGTTTTCAGATAAAAATTGATAATAAATCAATTATCCTTGTTAACATTATATTCTGTTTAAATTGTTATTCTTATTCATCTATTTTTTCCTTCATAATTTCATATCAAAAATTAATGCAGCCTCTTAGACATATAAGTCAAACATGCACTAGTTAAGTCTGTAATAATAAGAGGCACAACAACAACAACAATAACAACAATAACAACAACAACAACAACAATTTATACAACAACAACAAAACCTTAATCCCACTATGTGCGGTCGGGTTCATGAATCTTTTTTTTCCATTGCGTCCTATTTAGTGTCATATTTTCATGTAGTTCTAATAAATTAAGATCATTTTTTATATAGTAAGCCGAAGGTTTCCTAGGTCTATCTCTGCCTTTCTTAACATAAGTTGAGTCTAAAACATCTACTCTCTTAATCGGATCATCAGATGGTCGACATTTAATGTGACCAAATCATCTAAGATGACTCTCTCTAATTTTGTCCGTCACTGGAGCTACACCAACCCTATCACGGAGTAATCATTTAACAATTTGTCTTGAAGTGTAAAGCCACTCATCCACCTAATCATTCTCATCTCGGCAACACTTAACTTAGTGTTATGCTTCTCTTTTAAAGGCCAACATTCAACGCCATAGAGCATTGCAGGTCTCACTACTGTCTTATAAAATTTTCCTTTCTGTCTAAGCGATATTTTTCTACCACACAAAAGGCCCGAAGCATTCCTCCACTTCAACCAACCAACTTGAATTTTACTATTAACATCCCCATCTATATCACCATCGTTTTGAACAACAAACCCGAGATATCTAAATTGTTCACACCTTTTAATAACTTGATTACCCAAAGTTACACTTCTGTCACTAGAGCTACTACTACTAAAATTACATTCCATGTATTCAGTTTTAGTTTTACTGAAATGAAGGTCTTTATACTTCAATGTAGACCTCCATAACTCAAGTTTTTCCTGGGTTTTTCTCTCGTCTTATCCATGAGAAGGATATCATCAGCAAAAAGCGTACACCAAGGTACACCCTCTTGTAAATGTCCAATAAGTCCATCGATAACTAAAGCAAAAAGATATGGGCTTAAAGCCGATCCTTAATGTAATCCAACAAAATTAGGAAAATATTTGGTCAATCCTTCTTCAGTTCGAACACAAGTAACGACTATAGTATACATATCTTTAATGACTTGA